TGCTGCTGGGAGAGTCGCTGGAACTGATGCAGAGACACGTAATCTATGAAAAGCCACTCCTTTCCCGTAAGAGCCTTGGCTAGCTTGGAAACCTGGTATCCATAGGGGTCACAATGTTCCGTCGCCTCCCAGCAGTGGGACAACGAGATCACCTGGGTCCCGTCAGGCGCCTTGCCGTCGGCCCAGGCTTGCACCTCGGAAAGATGACAAAAGCAGAGGGAGACTTCGGGCTCCCGCGGTCTTTGAGCAGGCAGATTAGTATTATTGAAAAATGGCATATCGCGCGCCTCCTCGTGTGTCACCAGCGCCGTGCGGCTGTCCACGTAGGCGGACTCTGCTTCCTGGCGCCGCGGGAAACGCTGTCCTTCCCGGTGCAGCTTCAGAATGAAGTCGGCTCGCACCTCGGGCCGATCTGATCCGCGCCAATATATCACTATGCTATAGACGGCTATAGACTACTGGACTACTGGCCATCCTAGCATTGAACAGCAGGAATGATCGGATGGCATAGCTTGGGGTGTGCACAAGCCGGATGTCCGCATCTTTCAGGAAGTCCGCCAGCCCCTGCTTCTGAGCCAGGTCGTAGCGCTTGGGCTGGCGCAGGCGCAGGCGTTGTGCGACGCTGTCGCGGAGCAGGCACGGAAACGCTCGCTCACCCCGCGCGCCCCGGCCTCTTGGGGCTCCGAAGCTGGATCCGGTCGGCGGAGGCAGCGTGCCACGTCTTCGCAGTTCACTAGGCCCTCACCTCCGGACAGAAGCGTGCACCACAAACTACAGAAAGCTTTCCGACAGCGCACTGGTGTCGATGTCCAATTCTGAGCTTCCGTCGATCGGAGACAAGCTCTTGAAAGATGTCCTGGACCATATGCTCAGGCACAATGTTGCAACAAGCTGGGCACGCAGTCTCTGCCTGGAGCATCTCCAGAGTGAAACGGTCGCCTGCCACGTGCCGGGAAGAATCCCTACACGACATCCTGATTCCGGATCCTGAAAACTTGGTCGTTGGATCTCGGTGGCTACAAGGTTCGATAGGGATGTATTGAGTTGCTGCTTCGCTGTACTGCACCAGCCATGCAACAGTTGGAGAATCCACGCTTCGCACTTAAGTTTAAATTCGAGAAGTATAAATTGAACTTCTTTCCACATGCTAACGATATTTAGCCCGGATCAAAGTCAAGCATATAATTGACTCCGAATTTATTTGCAGACTGATGAACTTGCCGGATGTGTGACAAATCGTGTCGGGATTCTACGTAGATAAAGGGGAGCAACTGAGGGGACTCACCTGGGCCGGGTTCTGGCCTTTGAGGTTCCTGACGATGATGCGGAGAGCGTCCTTGGAGATCCTCCGCGTGCCCGGGCCACCCTGGCAGAGGAGAAGCGGGCAAGAACAATGGAAGCTCCAGCAATCGACCCGGAGGCTTCAGATCGGGCAACAAGCCCGTTGAGAGAAACGAAAACTCGGATGGGTCAGCGTGATGAAGCAAGAGCAAGATCAGCCAGGCGATTCGAGACCACGGGACAGGGCAGTATGATTCCGAATCAAACCCAACTTGTCGAAATACTGACACACTACACCAGCCTGTCCCCGCACTGCCCCGCACTACTGTCACTTAGATGTACCTGCAGCTCCCAGCCCCCTCCAGCCCGCGGCACCATCCGGATGTCCGCATCTTCGAGGAAGGCCGCCAGCTGGTTCTTGTCAGCCAGGTCGTACTCCTTCCCCTGCGCTGCCGAACGCCGCAGCGCTGTTGCTGCAAGAAATCGCATAAATGTGACCGGGGATGCAGAGCGCCTCCGCTGCTTTGGAGGTGCCTGGATCCGAGTGGTCGCACGAACCTCTCCTCAGCGGACCGCGAATTGCATGCATGGAGCAATTTTGTCCAACACTCCGAAAAACGAAATCCCTGCCTTCCCTTGCCGTTTCTGAGCCTCCGGCCGAAGCTCGCTGGTCTCCCCCGGCTTCTCGCCATCCTCCGGTGGCTCCTGCAGCTTGGGAGCCCCCAGATCTCAAGAGAGACGGCACCAGATCCAACGCCCCTTTTTTGTTACCGTGGCCCTTTGTCCTCCTGATGCACGCGATCCGGCAAGGAGCCCTCGAGCTTCCGGAAGCTTTGGCTCTGGCCCTCGCCTCGGCTCCCGCGGCGCTTGGAAGCGTCCGGACTCGCTGAGCTCAGGGGAGCTCTCTTCAAGGTGTCCCGTGCTTGTCCCTGCAGGACTGCGGGTCTCGGGAGCTTCTTCTAACATTCGGAGATCCACCTTTGGAGCCTTTTTTGAGTTGAGCCCACAATGAGTCCGGGACTTGTGGGCATCAGGAGCCCCTGAGGCTGGCAGACAGGTGCAGACATCACCGGGCTCCACGCGATCACCAGGAGCTTCTGGCAGGGCGTCCTGGCTCCAGGTCTTTGGTTTTTGGCTACGGCTAGGGCCGCCGCATGACTTGATCTCACCTGCCGCGCCCGCTCGGCGACACCAGTGCCTCCCATGCAGACGCCGGCCAGATGATGTCAAAACATTCTGAAGAAGGCTTGGTCGAGCAGACGGCCTCGGAGCCCGGGGATTCCTTCGCCGACTCGCTCAGTTTCGGCTTCCTGACCGGGCTTGCAGGATTGCGAATTTCCTGTGTCTTTGATTCTGACAATGATCATGACGAACCGTACTTTCTTTGCATCGACGAACTTACGTCTTGCACGGCGCACAAGGACATGCCTATCACTGACTTGTATACTTCTCCTTCAACCCAACAGCTGTTGTATCTACGTAGCTCATCTGGGAGATCTTCTGAGCTAGCTCCGAGGTATTTGACACAGAGGCCCACTTCGATATCTCCGTCCATGATCCGGAAACCTGCAGACCCCTTGGTGAGTGTTCGCTGCCTACTGTCTGCACTCCATGGAACCCAACCACATCCTCGCAACTGTGCAGCGATTCCGAGACCATACACTTCCTTCAGGTTGTCTATGTTTTGGCAGCGAGAAAGTAACAGTAAGCCCTGCAACATTGAAAAAAAATGCCAAGTGCTGGTCATCTCTCTCCGCTTTGACCCTCCAGCATTTGCCCAGCCGGGGCCTCTCCGCGACCCGGGAAGCAGCGCCCGAAGGCCCGGCCCAGCAGGCCCGTGCCCGCGCGCCCGCGCTCACGAGCATCCCGACTCCGGAGGCGGAGGAGGAGCTGCCGGCAGCTCAGCAGGCCTTCGCCTCGCTGCTGCTTTTCGACTCGCAAGAGGAGCTCTGGGTCAACAAGTTGTCTTGTAATTGGCGGGCGTTTCTTCCTAGGCTTGGAGCTTTCGGGGCCCTGTTTCTCTGTGTCTCCGTGAAGCCTCTAAATCACTCAATATAATCCTTGTTGCAAGAGCTCGCTGAGTGCCCTGCCATCGCTGGGAACTTCTTGCAAAAGGCCCTGCACTCCGTGTGATATAGCTTTTCAGGTGAAAACACAGACTTCAAACAGAAGACCGATTGCTGTGCCAATCTGCTCCGGCCTGAAGTTCCTCCTCTGTGATATCGTTGCCTTGCACACAGCTGCTTCTAGCAGCCGCCGTAGTTTGCAAGGCGCCCATGCTCGTGTGCCAGCCTCGAAGGCTTTCGACGATGTCGCAGAATGTCTCTGCAGACACTCGTTCCAGCTCCTCCCGAACCTGGCGACCGGGAATGTTAGGAATGCTGGCTGAAAGCAGCCGTTCAGTGGGACAAGGCGGTGCTATGATGCGCGAGCACCGGCTGGTTTGGAGTCCGAGCCTATGCTTCCAAAGCCCATATCTCGACACCACCTTCAGACACCTGGATCTGACTGTGCACTTTGATTCTGTTGGCATCGTCACTCCTGATGTGTCCAGATCTGCAATCGGTGATTGCTTTTGTCTCTTGCCTGCTGTCGCTCCGCGCGAGAAGCTTAAACTCGAAAAGGCTCTTGCCACCTTGCCTTCCTTCCACTGTGGCTACTGTTTCGGCCTCGGCTTGAGGGATTCCCGATGTGCATTGGGGCGTACATTCTTACATCTTCATGCAAAAAAAGAGGGCATCGTCTGCTTTTCTGGCAGACGGCCGCTCTCGCCAAACATGCTTTAAGACGGTACTCTGGCTCTGCGACCCCTGAAGGGCAGCCATTCACGCAGCAGCGCGTACTCCTGCACACTCCGGCCTTCGTCAATCCTCAACCTCAGCCCTCGGGAACCAAACATTCCATCGAAACGCCAAAGCCGAACAGAAGCCCCAAACGTCCGCAATGACCGCAGAGGAACCCGAAGAAAGGCCACGATGATCCCGACGGGAGAGGACAACTCTAAAGCCTAATCCTGAACCCTATAATTCCTAAACCCTAAAATTCCCCAAAGCCCTGGAAGAGAAAACCGCAAAAACGGCCCCTCCGGGCCTCAGTCGCCATCCGAGCCCTGGCCTTCGGCCTGGCAGCTGCTGGGGGAGGCCGTCTTCGGGAAGACAGGATCGCATGTCTAGGTTGCGGAGGTGGTGCTTTGCCTGGGTTCCTTGATGTTCCGTCGGTGACCCTGCAAAGGGGTTTTCGTGGAGATTCGATATGAAGCCTCCGACCCAAAGCTTTGACACTAAGCCAATGGGCCTATAATGAAAGCCCGCTCAGCCGAGCCTCCTTTTACAATCTCACCTGTGGATTCCCTGCGTGCTTCACGCCTCAAAAAACGGTATGCGACTACCACAACAAACAGCCTGCCCAGCAAGCCCGCTCCCCGACCCGAAGGTCGAGCCTGGCCCGAGCTTCCACCGCCAGATTCACCGAAGACTTCGGGGATCGTCACAGGAACAGTTTGGGATAGTCCCCTGGGCCTTGTCACGCTTTTTTTGGGGTGTTTTGGGTCGAAAGCTGAGGTGGCCTCTGCTCTATGAACGCAAGCCAAAGAGCAGCCAAACAACCAACCACCCCCGAAGGCCTCGAAACTTCGCAACTACCACGACCCTGGAGGCCCCCGGCACCTTCGGCTTGGCCCGGGCCCGGCAGCTTTGGCCAAGGCCTCTGCACCGGCACGCCCGAATTTTGAGGTTCAGAAGCGAAAAGAAGACATGTCCTAGCACTTCGAAGTCGGCTCTTTCACAGGTGGGAGAGCGTGCCGCTTGCCTGTCTGGCCTTGTCTCTCTGGTTGGGAGGCCAGGAGAAAGGAAAAAAGGCCCCGCCCCTGACGCCACTAGTTGCTATAGCGTGACTTCATCACGTGCCACGATGGGTTCTGTTCAAACGGTTGTACTTGATGGCAGCGAATGTCAGTCATGGATGGGCATGGGACACTGCGAGCCGAAACAGCCACCAGCTCGCTGTTTGTCCCCTGTGAAGAGCCAAAAGGTCACAGTGCTCCTGATGCCGACCCCTAGCAGCATGCCGACGATCAGAAGACGTCTGCAAAGCTGCGGGAAAAGTCTCTCTGTAGCAGCTCCACGCCCAGGTGAGAGAACACTGACACAAGGATGAATGTTGCAGGGTAGCAGTTGCCGGTCGAGATCTGCTAGGCATCAACCGTGAGGTCCCGAGACTCTCACAACCGGATGATGGCACTTTCCGTGTTTACGGTACAGCAATCTGATAGACAAGTTCTTTCAGGCTTCTTGAGGCTCTCCGCAAGGTAGTGGAGGATTCGAGCGTCGAAGTCTCGAGATACACCTGTTTTTGACTACTTTCGTGCTCTGAGCCCTGAATCTTCTGAAGCCCGGAAGGTCCACACGGCCCTTCACCACGAAACCTCCATGACAGAAAAATACTCCGAGGACCTGAACAGGAACAACAGCTCCAAATGCATCACAACAAGAAGATCACGGATTATCGAATTCCTCCGTCAAGCCCAAGCCCTTGGCCCTCTGGTCGCGCCCTCCAGCCTTCCAAGGAAGCTTTTTTTTGTCATCCCTTGCAAGGTCGGCTCTTGTCGCAGCCGGTCAATTCCGGTCCGCCACGAGCCGCGGGCGCCGCCTCGGGTATGTTTTGATTAACTTCGAGGCTCTCAAGCAGTTCGGGGTGTTTAGGGCTGTTGGGCTGTCAAGAGTCAAAGGTTCTTGTGGGTTTGGACACCGGTTTCAAATGTGATCTTCCACGTCTTCCACGGACTGCTGCAGAAATACTGTTGGCGACACCTGCTCCAGGCATCCGCCCTCTACAACTGGAACACTGAAAACTTAAGATCCTGCCAGCGGGCTGCAGACTTGGAAACAGCAGATCAGAAAGGCATGAAAGCATCCAACTCTCACAATGCAATGTTGAGGGGCTGTCCATTGAGGATTGCTGGAGCATGTCACGATGTGGCTTCCAGAGTACCGTACCTCCAGACTCTGTCTATGTAGTACCACAGAGAGGCTGCCCGGGTCCTTGGGTCACTGATTCAATTCGCTTAGACATGGGCACCAGAGACCGAAGTCTTGGAGCTCGGGCGGCCGTGGTGAAGTCTTGGGGTTCACGCCTGTCGCTGCATGGGGCTTGCTCACTTCTGGGTTCAGGGCACAAAGGCTGTTGGATGATCTCTGTGAGCCTTTCTTGGGCTGTTGTACATGCTTTAATGCATGGCTGCACCTCCGGCGGAGCCCCTCTTCTGCCTCGGACCCTACACCCTGGGGTCGGTGCCAATCACGAAAGGCTCCCGACTTGACCCCGGCACTCCAAGAAAGCTCGTCAAGTTGCAATGTTCGGACTGCAGCACTGGTGCAGGCGCAACGGCCAGCGACCTCTGCCTTTTTCCGGCTGCAAACTTCCCAAGAAGCGCTCAGGAGAAAGGCCACCGGCAGCGCGCCGAGGCTGAGGCCTCCCAGCCAGGAGTCGAAGAACGACCAACCGTCGACCGCACTGCGAAGCCCCGGCCGGGCCTCGGATTGTTTTGCTCGTGCGCCGGCAGCGCAGGGAGGGCAACCCGGAACTTCACCTCCTCTTCCCGCGCTTGGGCTTGTGGTGTGGCGAGCCCGAGATGCGAGCGGTGAGAAGGCGCAAAGTTGGGAGGAGACTGTGTGGACAGCGTCAGCGTCTCTGTGGCTCTTATTGGCATCCTTTAGGCCGCAAAGCTGCTAATGAATACTATGACCCTATAAGGTGGCACAGATGGGATCACCTGCAGGCACATCCCCTCGTTCTTTGAACTTTACAAGAAAGAGCACAGCACCCAGGACGTTTGGGGAGTCGCATGTCCATGACCTACTCGGTGCTTGAGGGTTCAAGGTCAGGGCACAGGCATTCAGCAGATGATCGAGTTTCTGAGCTTTACAGGCCGTCGTGTTAAATGCCTTGTGACAGCACTTGAGCCGCACGAAACATCACAAACGCAAGGATGCAGCTCCGGCGGAGCCCCTCTTCAGCTTCGGACGCTACACATTGGGGTCGGTTCTTGACACGGAGTGCCTCAAACCCGAATTCCGCGACTTGACCCGTGTGGTAGCGTCGGATCCTGACCCCAGTCCTCAGAGGTCCCAACCAGCAAAGACCCAAGACCAACACCAAAGCAAGACTGCAATGCTACGGCGACACGTTTGAATGCTCGGACTCCACCACAGCGCGACCTCTGCTTTTCGGATCCGAAGCGCTCGGGAGAAAGGCCACCACCAGCGCACCGAGGCTGAGGCCTCGCAGCCGAAAGAGTCCAAGCCCCGAAGTCTCCCACAGAAGCCACGACCGCACTCCGGGCCGGGCCCCGGCCGGGCCTCGGATCAAAGCTCGATGTCTTTCTCATGCACCGGCAGCGCAGCGAAGGTGGCCCGGAGTTTTTTTGCCTCCTCCTCGCCTGGGGCGTGGTTTGTGTGGCAAGGTCCAAGATGCTTGACAAAGCCCCCGAGGCCCGGGCCGAGGTCGTTGTTCTTCAGATTAACCCTGACCTCCGTGAGCTGCGGCAGGTCTCGAAGGCTCTCCACCACTGCGCTGGCGCCGGCAGCACCTCGGCCGGGAGGCAGGCAGAGCCCGCCACTTCCGGTGAATTCTGCGGTAGAGGGAGTGGGAGTGGACATCCGCAGAAACCCGTCTCTTCAAACTTCGGCGTGGGNNCACTGAAAACAGGGATCCAAGGCTTGGATCGCCTGAACGTGGCTTGTGGAGCAAGGCCTATAAGGCCGCTTGACAGACCTCGAGGCCCGGGCCGAGCGCCTTCGTGAGCTGCCGCAGATTGCGCAGGCTCTCAGCCACAGCTGCGGCGCCTGCATCACCTCGGGCGACAGAGAGGTGAGGCCCCAAGCTGCCACGCTGGGCGAGGTCGCTAAGGCTGAGGGCACAATGA